ACTCTCACTCTGTTGCCCTGTAGTGTCATAGCTCACAGCAACCTCAAACTCCTGGGCTCAAGCAATCCTCTTGCCTCAGCCTCCCAAGTAACAGAGACAGGCGCCCACCACAATGTCTAGCCGGTTTTTCTAGTTTTGGTAGAAATGGGGTTTCGTTCTCACTCAGCCTGGTCTTGAATTTCTGAGCTCAAGCAATCCACCCACTTCAGCCTTCCAAAGTGCTGGGGTTACAGGTTTGAGCCACCACGCCCAGCTCCCATCTTGGATTTTAATAAGAATTATATTGAATTTGTAGAACAATTTTGGAACTATTCCCATCTTAACAATTTTAAGTCTTCCCATCCACGAACATGGGATATCTTTCCATTTATTTAGGTCTTCTCGAATTTCTTTTTCAAAGCTTTGTCATTTTTAAGAGTACAAGTTTGCAACTCTTTTATTAAACTTCTACCTAAGTGTTTTTATTTTTTTTTATTGTATTGTAAATGGAATTGGTTTCATAACTTTATTTTCAAATTTTTTTGCTAATGTACAGAAATCAATTGATTTTTATATCCTGCAAACTTGCAGAACTTGTTTGTTAGTTCTATCAGTATTTTAGTAGATTTCTTATAATTTTTTATCTACAAGATCATGTCCTAGCCTGAGCAACCTAACAAGACTCCATCTCTATAAAAAGTAGAAAAATTAACCAGATGTGGTGGTACATGCCTTCAGTCCCAGCTACTTGGGAGACTAAGGCAGGAGGATCAGTTGAGCCAGAAGTTTGGGGTTGCCATGAGTTATGATGATGCTTAGCTTGGGTGACAGAGTGAGAGAGATTCAGTCTCAAAAAACAAACAACCTCTGCTTCCAAATCACAACCAGACAGACAAAACAGAAGAATGGCATCAGGCTTACTTATAGCAACTCTGGAAGGCAAGTATTTGGCAATTATTTTCAGAATAATAAGGCTATGCCTTCAGAATTCTGAAGAAAAACAGTATCTAACAAAATTCTATAGTCTGCTAAACTATTCATATAATTTGGGTATGAGGGCATAATAAAAATATTTTTGAAATTTTTATTTAGAGACAAAGTCTCACTTTGTCACCCTTGGTAGAGTGCCGTGGCTCCACAGCTCACGGCAACCTCCAGCTCTTGGGCTTAGGAGATACTCTTTCTTTAGCCTCCCAAGTAGTTGGGACTATAGGCGCCTGCCAGAACGCCCAGCTATTTTTTTGTTGCAGTTTGGCCGGGACCGGGTTCAAACCTGCCATGCCACCCTTGGTATATGGGGTCGGAGTCCTATCCACTGAGCCATAGGTGCCGCCCAGTTTTAGAAATTTTTAGCTATGCAAGTATTCAAAATTTTTTTTCTCAATTACCTCCTTTTTCTGGGATGCCACTATGCTCAAAGTAATAAGGTAAAACAAGAAAAAGGACAATTTGGATACTGCTGTTTTCATAGTTAGTCCTGTGCAACTAATTGACTTTTTAAATCGTATGCATGTGAAATGTTGAAATTTAAAAAAAATGCTTAAATTTTAAAAAAGGATTAACTCTCCTTGTGGACTGATTGAGGACTGTTTGGTGAAAATGTTAACTAAAATCACCTCAATTAATTCTAGTCTGCAATGGTTACTGTTTACCCAAGAGAGCAAGTAAAACAAAGAGGCAAAGATTTTTAATACAAATTTTCTTTTTATTTTTGTATGGCAAATGATGAGTATTAGTAAACTAGCCTTTTGAAGTTTTCTTATATAAATGTACCACACTGTGGTATAATCAGTAGACACCTTTTAGAAGATGAAATAATTAAGCTCATTAGAACAGGTGCTTGTGGCTGGGTTTAAAAAAAAAAACCCAAAAAACCCAATGGTCCCGACATAGGCATTAACAATGAAGATGCAAGTAAACACTTCAAATAAGATTGTTTCCTGAAATGAGCACACACAAACGGTGTTTTACTAAATTAATATATTGCTTTTTGTGATATTTGGTTTTAAATACATATGAGAACCAAATTAAATATTCCAAGTGAAAGAAAACAAACTAGCCATCAAATTGTTTCCCAAAAGTTATCTTTTTCTTTCTTTTTTTTTAATTTCCAGTTAATATGAAGGTACATACTATTAGGTTACATTGTTTGCATGTGTAAGGCAAAGTCTGAGCTGTAGTCGAGTCCTTCATCCAGGAGGTGTGTGCCATATACCCCTACATTGTACCTGATGGGGGGAACTTACTGAACTCTCTCTCCAATCTCCCCTTCTTGAATTTAATTGTGTTTTTCTCTAGTGTGGGCCCGTAGTTGTTAACCTACTAGGATCTTTGATTTTCACTGAGGAGGTGGCAAGAAGGGAAGCAAGCTGACCCTGTCATTCCTTGAGAGCTGGGGCCATGACTTACTGATACGTCCCATGACCATCTAAGGAAGTGCTTCTCCTTCCTCTTGATTGTATCACCCTGTTCTTTGCTTCAGAGCGCTTCCCACTCCCTGTTATTTTCTTGTTTATGTATTGGTTTATATGCTTCAAGTCTACCTCCTTCACAGGAATCTAAGCCCAATGAAAGCAGGGACCCTGCAGTCTTGTTCACACTGAAAGTATCCCGAATGTTACCCAGTGCCTCCCAGTCATAATGTGCAGTAAAGATTAAACAGACTTAGAATGAAAAGCCAGTAAACAACGTGCACCGATTAAATCTTCCCAGCCACAGTTATCTGGGTTTTCAGAACCAGGCTCAGTGAAGAGCTTCCAGTTTCCTGAGTAAGAGAGGCTGTTGCTTCCCCCAGGGTCTCTGCTCACCCTGCTTGGGAAGCCCCCCTTCCTGGTCCACTTGTTCGTCACTACTCCTTCCTTAAACTCCACAAAATCTTTTCTAGCACTTTCCTGAGAAGAAATAACAAACCCTCTTGCCAGTGAGCCTCTTACCCACACTTGTACTTCCTACAGGGCCTGGCTCCTGGCTAATCCTAAAACTACATTTCTCATCACTCTTCTATTCTTTACTCTCAGTACTGGCCTCTTTGCAGTTCCTTCAAACCTCCATTCTCATCTGCTAGGAGTGAAAATTGTCTGCCCAGGTATTCACACAGTGACTTCTCAAGTTCGTTCAACTCAAAGGTCACCTCCTGGGAAAGGCTGACTTTTACCAACCTAACCAGAGAAATTCCTCCCCTTCTCATTTTTCTAAACAGAACCTAGCCCCTCACCCTCGCTTGCTTTTTTTTTTTTTTTTGTAATACTGATCTAATATTGTATAATTAGTAATGTATTTGTCTTCCCTTCTAGAAGATAAACTCTGTGAGGGTGAACTTTCATTTTGTTTACTGTTGTGAATTCCGCTGAATAAACAGATGAATGGCACTTGGGGTGCACAAACAGCTTGACACTATGCTGTCTTCCTCTGCTAGACAGCAGGACTTGTGTCCTACAGTTCTCAATCTCCAGCCCCTTGCTGGCAGAGTCACTTCTTCATTTGCCTTGTGTGACTGAAGACATCAAGTAGATAGGACCTATAATAACAGTTTCCAACAAAGGGAATCCACATGCATCAGCTGAAGAATACAACTATGTTTCTATACTCCCTTTATCCACTGCTCTTGGAACTAGACACATTTCAAAGTTCAGAATAGTTTATCATTTAACACCCTTAGCAGGGCCAGTACCCTGTTATTAAAGATATCAATAGCTTTGCAACAAAATGTGATAAATCCTACTTACATGTGATAAAGAATGTTTAAGTCAGCTTTTGCTGCCAAGTGAGTTATCACAATAGATTTTAATAGTCTGGGATTTGGGAGTTGAGGATAAGGAGCTATGAATACAGATTAGCATATGGAGATTGGTGAAATATCTCCATGCTAAAATGGGTTCCCCACATTACAGAAGATTAAGAACTACTGATTTAACGCATTTGTTTAAAACATGTCTTTTTTAAATAACAGGTACTATTAACGAAGCTTTTACTCTGTGTCAATCCTTGCACTAAATTCTTTGATATGGATATACAACCATTATTTGCCCTATTTTATGGGTGAAGAAACTAGTTGAGGGAGAGGTTTGGCATCTTGCCCAGACAGCTAGTAATTGACTAAGCTGGCTCCAAAGTGAAGCTGTTTCACAGCACAAAGCCACGCTCTGGACCAACTGATCATCATACTGACTTCATATTGTGTAAGATAAGAATTTGTTAGTTATGACAAGTTTCTTTGTGATGGTGAATCTAAGAAAGTATCTCAAATTCAAGTGAATATGAAAACCCTCGGGCTAGGCTCAGCACCTGTAGCTCAACTGGCTAAGGAACCAGCCACATACACCAGAGGTGGCAGGTTCGAGTCCAGCCTGGGCCTGCCAAACAATGACAACTACAATCAAAAAATAGCTAGGCATTGTGGTGGGCGCTTGTAGTCCCAGCCACTTGGGAGGCTAAGGCAAGAGAATTGCTTAAGCCCAGGAGTTGGAGGTTGCTGTGAGCTGTGATGCCATAGCACTCTACCCAGGGCCACCACTTAAGGCTCTGTCTCAAAAAAAAAAAAGAAAAGAAAAGAAAAAAGAAAATCCTCAGGCTGTAAGTTTCTCTTTGTAAAAAATAGGTTGGTTAGATGTAGCCAACATTTAACTGATATTTATATGTACGTACAACAAAATAACTTATTTCCTCAGCTAAACTGATGTTTTAAATATTTATAGTAAGAGAAAAGTGATTTCAGATAGTTAAAAAAATATATACGCACACTAACTTGCCCTGATTTCCTCTGCAGAACCCAGATCTGTTGTTCCCCTCTAGATAGGAACGGAAATGGGATAACAGATCATCAAAAGGCACTAATTATAAATAATATACAGATTTTTAACTTGCTCTTTTTTGAGAACACCTTAGTTGCTTGGATTTTTTGAAGCCAGATAGAAATTGATAAAATATATTTGTGATGACCAAATTTTGAAACTCCTTAGGAATTACCAAATATAGCAGCAATAGTTGGCATTAAGGAAGTCAGTTGTATAAAAACAATCAAGTTATATTAAAAAAATCTCTGTGTTAGGGCTACAGCTTCAACCGAAGACACAGTGTTTTAGACCTCACTACATGCACGGGAAAGCCTCACGTTCAAGTTTTGAAATGTAGAGTAGCAAAAACACCACACATAGTTGTTTCATGGTACAAGGAAGAGAATATAAACATGAGCATTAAGAAATGAAAATAACATATACGCTGAAAACATCACAACAGAAACAGGCTTTATTTGAACCAGACAAGTGAATTCTTCAATTAGCATCAACTTCTTCAAGACTTGAAGATATGGAAATTAAAGATGGTGCTCAGAAGGCTGAGAAGGAAAGATCCATCGTGGAGTAATTATACTGTCCTTCAAAAAATCCTTTCAACAATCACAAGATCATTAGACCTCATGCGTTCCAATATCGGTACATGACCCTCATTTGAAAGTTAACCATCAGTTTTAATAGAGTCTTCCAAAAGGAGAAAATACATAGATCAGTATCATAAATTATTTTTTAAATTTTAGAAACTGGGATTGAAGTACAGTTTTCAGTTAAAAATATGAAAAATGAAAAAACTTAAACATCATTATTTAAGATGTCTTGTTATAAAGTTTCTAGGTACATATATACACAAAACAAATAGATATTAATTACTACCTGACACCTCAAGTCATGACTTACCCTAAATCTCCTGATACGAATAATGCATCTACTGGGAGGCTTTTCCCCATTAGTTTCAAACTTCTTGGACAAAGTTTTGCTGCCATTGATATGCGGGGCGTGAATGAGGACACTTTATCATAGACTATTTTAATTTAACATAACCTAGCATAAAATAAGCCCAATGAAACACTATTTATAAGGGATAAGACAAAATTGCATATAATTTGCAACTTTTGCCAGACTCATTAAATCCATTAACACTTTCAAAGTCTTCCCTTCCTAGGCATTTTCCAGAGCTTTAGATCTTGTGCTTAACTTTGTATCCCGGTCAGCACCTTGACTGATATAAACAATTACATCAAAGAAATGTTATGGGATGGGAGGCAGACCATTGGAGGACAGAAACAGGGGGAAGGATTTTTTTTTTCTTAAGACATCCAAACAGGAAAACAAGACAAAGAAGGGCAAACAAACAAACAAAAAAAACGTGTTCACAGTAAAACAAGCCAGATTTGTAGTTTCATTTGAAACCAATAGCAAATCATGAAACGTCATGAAAAATATAAGTAAAGGTAAAATCTCCTAGAGTAATTACTAAATGAAGTTAAAATTACCACACTGATCAGTAAACCCCAGAAGAAAAGTGAACAGCGCATACATATCAGGTCCTTCTTAAACATTATACAACTTTTCAAAGTTAACGCATAAAATTGGTAGGTTTGGCCACGCTGCACACAATTTTTTTTTTTAAAAAATACAGTATACAGAAAAAACTCTTATATTCCCCATTTTGAATCATTAGCTCAAAACCTAAGTAAAAGATCAGCTAGAAGGATTTTAAATTATTTACAATTCCAGCAGGTGCTTCTGCCACAGTGGCTCGGCTTCCTTCCCACGCTGCCTTTCACCTTCTCCAGCAGCAGTTTTCAGTTCTCCGTCCCCTCGGGAGGCTGTCCCCATGACGGCTCATCTCTACTGGTCATCAGTCATTTTGAACAGTTCCAACAGTGCCCCAACAGCTCCAAAATAACCCTACAAAAACAATGGAAAACTTCTGTACAATTATCTCTGAACCTTAGCCAAATATCTATTGTTTTTCATAATTCTAGGAATGCTGCCCCTCCATGTTGTAGATAAAGAGAAATTTAACACCTGAACTCTGTGCCAACAAACACTGTAGAAAAATAATGATAATAACAGTCACAACAACTATATAATTTATTGGACACCTACTTGTTTATATATATTAAATTAGTTAACATATGTAAAGCACTTAGAATGATGTCTGGCACATGGTGTGTGGTAAATAAATGCTGGCTATTATTAGTATATAACTATTTCATTTTAACTTTGCCATGGCAAAATTTACATTATTATTTTACAGATGAGAAATGGAAGGTAATAAAGTCAATTACCCTTACAGTGTCACACCACTTGTGCCAGGGCTCTACACCAAATCCAACTTCAAAGCTGTACATAGGGGAGGGGGGACCCTAAGCTTCCCTCAGGAGCTCTTGAAAAGATAATTCAATCAGCCTGAGTTTCACTTTGCCCATCTGTAAACAAAAAACCTATGTTTGTGTGAAAATGAAAGGGATGAAAAACAGAAATTTCTAGAGAACACATGTTGTGGTCTGGGCTGCTACTTATAACAAAGAACCATAGGCTGGTGGCTTATAAACAATGGAAATTTCTTTTTCAGCTCTAGAGGCTAGGAAGTCCAAGATCAAAGTGTTATGGAGGGCCCATTCCTCACAGATGGCCGACTTCTCACCATAACCTCACATTACTGATATGGTGGGAAGGGCGAAGGAGCAATTGGGTTTCTTTATGAGGATGCTAATCCCATTCACGAAGGCTCAGCTCTCATGACCTAATCATCTCCCAAAAGCCCTAACAGTATCACCTTGGAAGTTTAAGATATAAATTTGAACGGGGGTGCACAAATATTCACTCCATAGCAATCTGTTTCCAGAAGACAGAAGACTCCACTCCTCTGGTATTTACTTGAATCAACAGTTAATTTACTGCAGAAATGGGTGTGAACGTGTCAGGACATGAAAAGATCTTTGCTGCTGTTGCTGTCAGCTTATATACACTGAGGTTTCATTAATGGGGTAGAAAATTTTCTGAGCACTTTACATGAATTTCCTCATTTACACATCACAATAACTCTATGAGACAAATATTACTATCACCCTATTTACAAATGCTAAAACAGAGAAGGACGGTAGAGTCATTCTTTAAGATCTCTGAGTCAATAAAAGGCCGTGTTCTTAACTGGCTAGCTAGACTACTTCTCCTAGGCATTGTTCAATAACATTAGTTAAATGAATGAGAAATTCAATGAATGCGGACTCCTAAGGCCAGGTTAGGTGACCAGAAAGCCACTATACCAATTCTTCTCCAAAGTTCTCTCCATAGTATTCTCTGGTAAGGCCTGTTCACACTTAAAATGTAGAAAAATCTCTGAGGGACACATTCAAGGCATTATAAGAACGCTTGTTTCCCTGGCCATGCAGAGTGAGTTATCTTAGATAGTAACAAATGAAAACCATAGTCTATAGAGGCTTAGGATTGCAGGGAGTGATACAGTGACCACGTTTCTACCTGTAGATGTGACTTTCTTTTTTTTTTTTTTTTTGAGACAGAGCCTCAAGCTGTCCCCCTGGGTAGAGTGCCGTGGCATTACAGCTCACAGCAACCTCCAACTCCTGGGCTCAAGCGAGTCTCTTGCCTCCGCCTCCCAAGTAGCTGGGACCACAGGCGCCCGCCACAACGCCTGGCTATTTTTTTTTTGGTTGCAGCCGTCATTGTTGTTTGGCGGGTCCGGGCTGGGGATTCGAACCCGCCACCTTAGGGGTACATGGCTGGCGCCTTAGCCGGTTGAGCTATAGGAGCCGAGCCAGATGTGACTTTCACCTAAACCTTGGATTGTATTCTTCATATTACCAACTAACAACCTGTGTGAACTTGCAGATAACATTTTAGCCCTGAAAGTTTCCAGGCTTTGTTCTCTGCATTAACCCAAGAGGATCTGGACTTAGGATTGCCAGATAAAACACAGATAAATGCCAGATAAAATAAATGGGCATCCTGTACTTTTTATTGCTAAATATGGCAACTCTATCTGGAATAGAACAGTAGTTTTCTTTTTAATAATTTTTTTTAAAAGCTGAGAAGCTTTTTTCCTTTTCAAATAAAACTTTACATGGAAATTCCATAAATAAGTAGATTAAAAGGAGCTCTCTGGCCTAGGAGAGGAGGAATGAAGTTCTGAAACCTCATTGCTCCCCCCCCACCGAAAAAGAAATAAATCACTCCATGCCTTAAGCCTGCTATTTTTTTTTTTTTAATGAAAGGCTTTTTTTTTTAGTATCGGGCCTTCACTATTTAGTATTTAGGTTTTTATTGTTTTATATGGTTTAATAAAACAAAATATAAGCAAAATGAGCGGTAAATTACTTCTAAATGCAAAAGTAACTTCTTAAGGATTTCAGTTTGGGGATGAGAAAAATGTAATAGTTCTTCATTACACTAGAAATTTACAATGGTAGTTTTCTCAATGTCTTTTCTGCTGCAATATACAAAGAGATTAGGTATCTCCTGTGATAAACGGTAGCTCTCTATAGCACTGACTTTAAAGAGGGTGATGAAGAAGTGGGGAGAAGACAGGAAGCGCCCCCACTCACTCTTAGACACCTTGGTTTATTTACTGTGTGTAGAAACTCCATATACAGGACTCTGGATTTACCAACATCTCTCCATTTCCTCTGCAAACAGGTTAGGCTACTCTTAGTGGCCCAAGCACTTCTCATAAGTTGAGTTGTTTACTTGCCAAGAATCCGCTGTGTGAATCCTCTTGTTAAAATACTGATCTAACACCTCACTCAACAGGAACAATACTCAAAAACAGACCTTGGTCTTACATCCAAAGTTTGGTCAGTAAATGCAACTTTTTACATTTAAAATTAAAATAGTTAAAATAGGGAGATATTTTTTAGTGATTACTCATTTTAACTGACTTTTACTTATTTATTTTTATTTTTTTCCTGAGACAGAGTCTTACTCTGTTAGCCTTAGTAGAGTGCGGTAGCATCATAGCTCACAGCAACCTCAAACTCTTGGGCTCAAGCGATCTTCTTGCCTCAGCCTCCCAAGTACAGACCCCCACCACAACACCCAGCTATTTTTAGAGATTGGGTCTTGCTCTTGCTCAGGCTGGTCTTGAACTCCTGAGCTCAGGCAATCCTCCTGTTTCAGCCTCCCAGAGTGCTAGGATTATAGCTGTGAGCCACCAAGTCTGGCATTAACTAACTTTTAAAGTTTTAAAAAATTATAATTATGTATTTGTTGGATACAAAATGAGGTTATGATTTATGAATACAATGTGAAATGATTCAATCAAGCTAATTAACATATCCCTCACCTCAAATAATTATCACTTTTTGTGGTGAGAACATTTAAAATTTACTCTCTTAATTTTTAAATGTGTAATATGCTATTAACTATATTTGCCACAGTATGCAATAGATCTCAAAAATACCTATTCCTATCTAACAGATGTTGTACCCTTTGACTGTCACCTTCCTAGTTCCTCCACATCTGAGCCACTATAACCACCATTCCACTCTCTGTTTCTATGAATAAGAATTTCTTTCTTATTAAAGGGTGAATAGTATTCCATTATGTATATACTGCATTTTCTTTATCTATTCAACTGAGGTTGATTTCATAACTTGGCTACCATGAGTAGTGCTGCAGTGAACATGGAACATGCAAAAATCCCTTTTGCACATGGATTTCAAATCTTTGGGGTAAATACCCAGAAGTAGGATTGTTGGATCATATTATAATTCTATTTTAGTGTTTTGAGAAATTGCTATCCAGTTGTCCATAATATCTGTACTAAATTATATTCCCAGTGATTTTTTCCTGATTAACCAACTACTTGTCCTGATTGTCAGATAGGAGGGCTTCCATTTTGCATATAGTTCTTTCTTATCTTTTGTGTAAATGCAAAGTTTAAAGGCAACCTTTCTACTTGACTGATTCTAAAACGAAGACCCGCTCATTGGTTTTTTAGACAACCCAAAAAACACTTAACACAGAGGACAGTTAAGTCCATGTAAGCTCAACTTACCTCATGTTCCAAAAACAGAGCTTTTAGCTGTCCTTTGGACCAAAAATCCATGGCATATGCTAGGAGCTTCATGGAGACCATAATGATTCTGAGAAAATTCCCAACAAACACAACTCTATCTATATTCTGAAAAAAAATGTTAAAGAAAAACAATTGAACCATGGCGTAAAAATAACACTTAGCAAAGACCCAATGTTCTGTATGTCTCTGTACAGAACTCTGCAGAGTGAATTTTATTTTATTTTCTTGATGGAACTTTTTCAGAATTTCCAAAATGAAGTTCAACAAACCACACAGGACATTCTGCAAGAACAGGTGAGTGAGATTTTAGTTGGGCAAGGCAGAAACTGGTATTGGGCTAATTCACAGGTGTTATTTAAGACTGCCTTTGGTCTGACATGAACTTCAGCTCCCAACACACACATAAAATTATAATTGGAGTTCAAGTTTGGCTATATTTCTATGCATTCCCTCAATCCCCTAAAACTTCCGAGTACAAAATACTATTATAACCAACTCATGAATAAAATGGCAGTGGCATGGCTTATTCACCTAATAGGTTTGCTCACTCTGCTCTGGGTCAGACACTAGAATTAGAAAACTAAGAAACAATACTGAGTTTCTGCCCTCAGGATATGTGCTGGAATATCCTGTTTCGTCATCATATGGCTTAAAATATGGTAGCCAAAATTCTAAACATACGCTTATGAGCATTCCTCTCCTGTCCTGCCTGTCCATGCAGACGTGCTTCTAATGCCATAAGTTTCCAGCTGCAGGGTGCTCACTGCACTTCTCACTCCCCCAGATATGTCTTTAAGCTTAAAACGGAGCTTAGCCTGTCCACTTGCACAGGCTGTCCACCACTCACTCATGCAGCCAGTTGCTATGGTCACTCTTATCAAAGGCAAGAGAGCCTTTGAAGCTGGTATTATTTTCTGCTTAGTTTATCAAGAGTAATCAAGATTGAGTGGTGCCTGTGGCTCAAAGAAGTAGGCACCGGCCCCATATGCCAGAGGTGGCGGGTTTAAACCCAGCCTCAACCAAAAACTGCAAAAAAAAGTAATCAAGATCTAGGAACATCACCTTTTAACTGTCTCAGGTATTACCGATGCATATTCAAGAACACATAAGCCTCAGCTGGACACCTGTAGCTCAGAGAGTAGGGCGCCAAACACATACACCAAAGCTGGTGGGTTCGAGCCTGGCCCAGGCCTGCTAAACAACAAAGATAACTGCAACCAAAAAATAGCCAGGTGTTGTGCTGGATGCCTGTAGTCCCGGCTACTTGACTACTTGAGAGACTGAGGTAAGAGAATCGCTTAAGCCCAAGAGTTTGAGGTTGCTGTGAGCTGTGACGCCACGGGACTCATCGAGGGAGACATAGTGAGACTCTGTCTCCAAAAAAAAAAAAGAACACATAAACCTCTGCAAATTTCCCATAGGTAGATGGGTAGGGTTGGTTTCAGAAAGTTCATAGATAAAAGAACTGTAGTCACAAATTACCCAGACTAAGAGGTGGCAAGGAACACTCAAAGTATGAAACTCAGATTAAAGAGAAATTTAATTATATCTAGGCATTTCAGCCTTTCCCCTGAAACAAAGGATTCCAAGCGAGGACTTGTTCTAAGCCCAGTCCTGTATTACCCTGGTAGAAAGCCAGAAGGAGTGGAGTGGCATTAAAAGCTGATGAACAGTCCATGTTGCAAATAAATTCCAGGTGAGTCAAAGAGACCTCTCCCCCCCTTTTTTTTAAAGAGAGACTAGACTAGAGGAAAACATAGGAGAATTAAAAAAAAAAAATAAACTTCATGTTGAAGTAGAAAAGGCAAAATACTTAAAAGTCCATTTTGGATAGATTACTATAGTTACTTAAAAAACATCAAACATTTATTCAGGGGGAAAATATCACTACAAACAAATCCAAATGGTAAGCAATAAACAGAAAATATTTTCAGTCCATATCATATGAAATGGATTTGTTATCTAATTAATAGAGTTCCTACAAATCAGTAAGAAAGACCAACAGCCCAATACAGAAATGGGTGAAGAGTATTAATAGACTGTTCACATCACATGGAAACAAAACAAGAAATACAAATGGCTATTAAATATATGAAAAATGCTTAACTTCACTTATAATAATAAAAATGCAAACTAATCCCAAAATAAAGCATGATTTCTTACTTATTAGATTGAAAAAGATCAAAAAGTCTGATAGCCCTCTGTAGAGAAACTTGTACTCTTATGGAGGGAATTTTATAATATCTATTAAAATGATGATCAACATATCCTTTGACTCAGCAATTTGCCACACAGGAATTTATCCTACAGGTATGCTTGGATATATGCCAAATGATGTGTGTACACACTATATATAAATATATAGAGGACTTCTTTTGTTTTAAAACAAGAAATCACTCTCTTGCTCTGCCTAGGGTCTAATAGTGTCATCATAGCTCACTGCCACCTTAAACTCCTGACCTCAAGCAATCCTCCCACTTTAGCCTCCCAAAGTGCTAGGATTACAGTGTGAGCCACAGCACATGGGCCATGTAGATATTTTAATAATAGGAAAATACTAGAAAAACCTAAATATCATTAGGCAGTTGATCGAATCAATAATAGCATATCTATAGGTTAAGATGCTATATGGCCATTAAAAAAAGGAAACGGCAGGGTGTGGCCTAAAATCAAAGATCCTCAAATCAGTGACTCCAGAGAGCAAAGCAAGGACTAAAGGACCTGGTGACTGCTCTCACAGGGAAACACGATGTGTCAGTCACTGGTGTGTTCACTGGGAGGCTGCACTCAGGAGACACGCTCTGATGGAGCCTTGGCCCCAGGATGACAGGTGATTCCCTTCATTTATTCTAGGCACTACAGAAACATCTAAAATACAGTACATAACATGGCTACATTTTCAAACAGACATTTCTATTACATTCCAACAATAAATGGCATTAAAAGTAAAATCAGGGGCTAGGTGCAGTGGCTCATGCTTGTAACCCTATTTTGAGATGATGAGACAGGAGGATCCCTTGAGGCCAGGAGTTCAAGATCAATCTAAACAACATGGTCATACCCCATCTCTACAAAAAAATTAAAAAATTAGCTGGGAGCGGTGGTGCGCACCTATAATCCTAGCTATTACCCTGAAGGCTGAGGCAGGAGGTAGGAATTCAAGGTTACAGTGAACTGTGATCATGCCACTGTACTCCAGCCTGAGCATTACAAAGTAAGACTAAGGAAAGGGGAGGGGAGGGGAAGGGAAAGGAGCAACGACAGAAAGGAAGGAAGGAAGGAAAGGAGAGAAGAAAAAGAGTGAAAAATAAGTCAGTTGCTCTCTCTCAAAAGAATTATGAGAACCCACTGGCTCAATCTAGGCAGAAGTGCAAGCCAGTTCTGTGAAAGTAAGGAGACAGGGCACTTATTGCTCTATAGGGGAAGGGATGTTACTGTCTTACTGACCTTTGAGAGCCCATGAGTATAGTCAACTGCCCAAGTATTAGACTTAGGGCTTATTTGGCATCTTGGAAAAACTCCCTTTAAAGGTTAACTTAAAAAATAAACTCTCTGTTATGGTAAGTCCTGGCAAAGTGGGCTTTGAAATGGCACATCTCTGGAATACTTTTTTATATGAATGTCAGCCTCCCATGGAAACTCCATCTAAATTAGGGACTTCCAAAGAGTTATGTCCCTTATCTACAGGCTAGTAACATAGTCCATTCAATATTGTGAAAGGAAGGTGTCTCTTTTGTCACCTCAGAGTTCAAAGGCAGGGCTAGCACCCACCCACTTACCATAAGCACTACCTCATATACCAACACTCTACTATGCAACTACAGAGGGTTGGCGGGGGGGTGTCTGAGTACCTGCAATGTTGTATTTCTCTACCTGAGTAATGGCTGTACGTGTTTGTGAACCAAGCCCTGCAGTTACAATTTGAGCCCTCTTCTGTATGTATATTTCCACTAAAAATTATCTTTTTAAAAACTCCATTACAAATCTACTACGATTCTTTAGCACCCTTCTACTACCTGTTCCACATCCCACCTTCTTTTTCTTGTCTTTCTCACATACCTCCGTGAGAAGAGTTGTACTTTGCACATCTTGTATTTCAGACATATGTTCCATATGTGCCAAAGAAATTTTGCTATGTTTGAAAACATACTAACAAAGCTTTGTCTGTCACCAGCTACACACCCCTTCTTGGGCCTGGGGCTCTGGCTGGCCTCAGCTGTAGCAAGCTCTCTGTGCTTTGATAGCCCTGTACAATGCTGCTTGAACTCCATGCCACAAGGCAACACTGTAAAGAAGCTGAAAGCAGAGAGAATATCGAATAGTGCAAGTTGAGCATTTTACCTGCATCATTTGCAAGGATGCTCAGAGCTTTTCCTCACATTGCAGTGGCCACATGGCAATAATGATGGCCAGAGAAGCTGTGACATGGGCTGTGATTTACCATGTTTCTACAGTTGGAGGTTTTATGAGTTGTTATGTAGTGCCTTCTTAAAAACAAAATACATCCTCCTTCTCTTTCCCTAATACGTACCCCTCCTGCCCTAGTAGGTGTGATTGCAGTAAAGAATACATAGTTTTATAAGAGTCAATGGACACTGCGCTGCCAAAGATGATGTGTATGAATGACACATGGCTTTCCCTGGGTTGAGCAAAGCCTTACCTCATTCAATGCACACATCCGAGCAATGGAGCCAATGTTGTTGGTGATGGTGACCAATGTGGCCCGGGCAAGGTCTTCCTTGCTGATGGAATCTC